AACAGCCAAAAGGTCCCTAAACTACCGGCTCAGTCCTATTAATAGACTGACCTCCTCTAGACCTAGACCTACTGGGACCGGTACCGCTTCAGTTTAGCCTGTTCGGCCTGGACACTACCCGGCTATACGGCGTGAGACCGTCGCTACAGCCCAAGGCCCGCTGGGCCTGCTGTCCTAGTGATAGCCCGGTACTGCGAAAGGCAGTGAGGGTACTAGAGGAAACTCGTGGCACTACTGTAAATGTAAATTTCCAAAATTTACAGATTTGTCCCTCTTGAATTTCCTTTGGACTGAACTCACGGTTAGTCCCTGACAAAACAAAATTACAAATCTAACCCTAGGACTCGACTGTACAACCTCGCAGTTAGATCTCGGCAGTAGAAATCAGCAAGTCATCGCAGGCGTACCCTCCCGGGGAGCGAGGACCTCCGAGCTAAGGGTGCAGACGAGGAGATCGGCAGGGAAGGTTCCCTTTCTGAGCCGCCTCGTAACGAAGTACTACAGACTTTGTTGTCTTGAGAAGTTCTTTCCTAGTGAACCACCTATCCTCGGTATGAGGCTGGAAACAAAACTTCACAAGATACTGTCGGTCGGGGCCAGTGCCCCACTCGTCCTCGATGGACTCCATGTCATATCCCTTGTCGGGGATCGGTGGACCAAACTGAGGGGGGCGGTCTGGGAATGCATCAGCTGGGATAAAGGGAAGCAGCTTAGATGCATGGAAGACCGCATAGGTTTGTAGATGCAGTGGGACGTCGATAACGTATGACAGGCCAAAAGGATCGGAGCCCACTGTATCTAACACTTGCCACGGACCCAGGTATCGTGGCAACAACTTGGGAGAGATATCCTCTTCCCTCGACAACTCTGAACTGGCTACCCAGATGTAATCGCCAGTACGAATGGGGGAAGGACGTCGGTGGCAATTAGCTTGTTCAATCATGGCCTTTTGAGCCTTGAACAAGTTCGCTCGTGCCCTTTCCACATCGGCTTTGTAGTGTCTGGTAAACTCCGCAGTGCCAGGAGTCAGATCAGACGTAGCCTTATTGATGATGTCATCAAGAGGTTGTCGTGGCTCATGTCCTTAATGCAAACGATATGGACTGAACCCAATTTAAGAGTGGATAGAGGTATTGTAAACAAGCTATGCACGAGCCAGGTGGAGATCCGAGTCCTGTTGATCTGGAGAATTGACAGGCCGCAGCAACTGAAACAAGACTTGGTTCATCACTTCAGCCTGACCATTGGCTTCAGGATGACGGCCAGAAGTCATGTCCAATCGTGAGTGTAGGTAGTCCTTGTAGTAGGACTGCCACTCATTGCTGCAAAATCGTGGATCCCTATCACTGACTATAGAAGTGGGCGGTCCATGGTGAGTGACCCACCTCTCTGAAAACGCTGCTCTCACAGCGGGGACCCTAGCTACTTCTGGCAAGGGGATGAACTCTGCATGCTTAGAGGACCTGTCCACACAAACCATTACCTGACGTATGCCACGAGGGGTAGTCTTGCCTAGATCTTTAAAATCTATAGATACAAATTCAGCAGGACCATCAGGTATGGGCAAGGGTTTGAGCAGTCCCAGAGGAGATCTACGCTGAACCTTATTTCTCTAGCAGAGCTCACAGGTTTCAATATAGTGCAGCAGATCACTCCGCATCTCCTTCCAGAAGAAGCGCTGCGATAGGGTTGCATATGACTTTAGGAACCCAAAATGGTTGCGTGCATCATGACACTCTGACATCAGCAGAGTCCTCAGTCGCTGGTCTTGGGGAATGCACAAGCGCTCCTCACCCCTGCTGTAAGTGTACAGCAAGTCTGAACTCAGGGCATAGCCTGGTTCAGAGTTGGGATCTGCTTGCAGATTCCTGACTATGGGTCCATAAGTCGGGTCTTGAGGTAATAAACGGGCAATGGTCTGACGGGTCTCCTCTCCAAAGGAGTGAGTAGAGGAGATCAGCGCAAAAGCATTAGGCCTACGAGAGAGGGTGTCTGCTACTTTGTTGTAGCAACCCTTCTTATGTTCCAGTTCAAAGTCAAACATGTCAATGAACTGAATGTACCGTGCTAGCTTATCGTTTAACTCTCCCTTGGACATCATCCACTGTAGTGTGGAATGATAAAAACAGATCTTGAAGTGCCTTCCCAGGAGAAAGTGCATCCAATGCTAAGTGCACAAACAAGAGCATACAACTTTTTCTCGTAGGTAGAGTCCTGAAGCTTCTAAGTCTTGATCTTCTTGCTCATGAACTCTACAGGCCGTAGACCATTCCTATCATCTTGCTGAAGAACTGCCCCAATGCCATACTGACTGGCGTCAGTGGTCAGGATAAATGGCAAAGTGGGGTCAGGCAACTTCAGCACTGGTGCACGAGTCAAGGCCTTCTTGAGTCGTGTGAAGGCCAACTGACAGGGGAGGGACCAAAAAAAAGGAGTGTATTTCTTTGTTAGGTTAGTCAGGGGTGCGGCCACCGTAGAAAAGTTCCTGACAAACTTCCTGTAGTACGAAGCCAAACCCATGAAGGACCTGACATCCCTCAGTGTCTGTGGCTGGGGCCACTCCTGAATAGCAGCAATTTTGGTTGCTTCAGGGGCCAGCCCATCTCCAGAGATTACATGACCCAGATAGATGACAGAGGGAACTCCAAAAGAGGACTTCTCGCTGTGAATCTTATACTAGTTGTCACGTAACGACTAAAGAACCAGAGCCAGATGCTCTGCATGCTCCCTTGCAGTTCGGCTGAATACCAGGATATCATCTAGGTAGGGAACCATGAACTTGTCCAGGTAAGGCCTGAAGATGCGGTGCATCTCAGTCTGGAAGGTACCTGGGGCATTGCAAAGTCCAAATGGCATAACCAGATATTCGTAAGTACCATATCTGGTTTTGAAGGTTGTCTTGTAGACATCCTCCTCTGCCATCTCAATCTGGTGATAGCCAGATTTGAGGTCAATTTTGTTAAACACTGTCCAGCCCTGTACCATATCCAGTAGGTCATCGATCCTAGGAATAGGCTCAATACTATTCCTAGTGATCTTATTGAG